TTTGGATCTAGCTGTCGAGGTTCGGATCAAACATCTGAAACTTCAGTTCTTACATCTGAAGTAATTCAGATGTGAGAACCAAAGGTTTTCGGATGTGAGAACTGAAGGTTTTCGGATGTGAGATCCGAAGTACTTTAGATGTAAGAACTGAAGTTTCAGATGTGTGATCCGAACCTAGACAGCTAGATCTAAAGTGTGCAGATGTTCAATCTGAAAACTTCAGAGATCCATATGACCTGAACTTCGTATCCAACGCACGAAAGTTTTTTCTCCATGTAGAAGGACAGGACAAACTATCTAGCAGCAAAGGCGAAAATATGTCGATTTCGATCCAAGATAAATTTTGCAACGATGGTCATGAAAATTGAATAACTTAAAAGTTATGGCTCATTCGGCAGCCTGATTGTTGAAATTTTTTGTTTGTCGGGACGACATAGATGACACAGGTTAAAAGGCGGAGCGAGATTGGTCGGCTATGTCTTATCGCTGCTTTGTCGTGCCTTTGTCAGGTGGAGTGGACGACATGTCGGAAACTTAAGAGGTGCCGTTAGCTTGTCGTGAGTTCAACCCGACATAGGCACGACAAAGCAGCGATAAGACGTAGCCAACCAATTACGCCCCGCCTTTTAACCTATGTCATCTATGTCGTCCCGACAAACAAAAAATTTCAACTATCAGGCAGCTGATCCTAAGAGCTTTCGTCAAAAGCAAATCCGAGGTAAATCGGTCTAATAGTTGTTGATATCGAAGGAGGACGAATTGCAAAGTGGCAAAATAAAAAATTTATGGTTATCAATTCGAGGTAAATTTTGCAACGTAGGTTTCGCAAATCGAAAAAAAGAGGGTTGTTGGTACATTTAAAGACCTAGAGCTTTCATTTGCAAAAATCCGAGGTAAATTGTAGTCCAAAAATTGCCAAGATTGAAGGAGGATAAAGTCTGGCGGCAAAGACAAAATTATTTTGTTACCAAATCGAGGTATATTTTACAACGTCGGTTTCACAAATCGAAAAATCGAGGGGTGTTGGTACATTTAGAGGCCTAGAGTTTTCATTTGCGAGAATCCGAGGTAAATCGGTCCAATAGTTGCCGAGATTGAAGGAGGATAAACGGTCCGAGGGCAAACACAAAAGTATTTTGTTCCCAATTCTAGGTAAATTTTGCAACATCGGTTTCGCAAATCGAAAAACCTAGGGGTGTTGGTACATTTAGAGACCTAGAGCTTTCATTTGCAAAAATCTGAGGTAAATTAATCCAAAAATTGCCGAGATTGAAGAAGCATAAACGGTCTGGAGGCATAGACGAAAGTATTTTATTACCAATTCGAGGTAAATTTTGCAACGTCGGTTTCGCTAATCGAAAAATCGAGGGGTGTTGGTACATTTAGAGACACTGAGCTTTCATTAGCTAGAATATGAGGTAAATCGGTCCAATAGGTGCCGAGATTGAAGGAGGAGAAACGGTCTGGTGGCAAAGACGGAAGTATTTTGTTACCGATTAGAGGTAAATTTTGCAACGTCGGTTGCGTAAATCGAAATAGCGAGGGGTGTTCGACCTTAAAGAGACTTAGAGCTTTCATTTGCAAAAATTTAGAGTAAATTGTTCCGAAAATTGCATTTTGACCTGTGCTTTGCGCCAAAATTTCTCATTTCTCATCGTCTCTCAAATGAGGCGTCACAAAAGGGGGATTGCCATTTGAAAAAAAGAGTTGATGCCCACATTGGAAAGGACCGAAAAGATTAAGATTTAGGAACATCCCCTAAGTTTCAAATTTCTTTGTCAATTAGGAAAAATTTTACAGGGGTGGTAAGTGACTTTTGCATAACCCTGTATGGCACCAAATTAGTCTGAGATTATGAGGTAGTTCTTCTTTCAAATCAAATGGGGTGGGGATGTACTCTCAATATTCAGTTAAAATGCCTCTACTCGCTCAAAACAAAAATTCAAAGTTTCCAAATTTTTTTTGGATTGTTTGCAATGATGAATGGTACAGTGTTTATTACTCCTGACAATGAAAAGAGTTTAAGAGTTAAATATTACCGACAATGAAAAGAAGCATGAGACAATTGTACTAAGGTAAGCGGGCTGCCCGAGAGGCATGGATGGCACAGTTGAAGATTGAGTCAGCATCTCATGAGATGCTGGTGATGGCTCTGGAATTTGCCTGTTGGTTGGAATCCATCTGAAGTTCCCAAGTTTCTAGTTTCTTAAGATTCGCAGTTTCCCTATTTCCGGTTTCTTTTCTGAACTTTCCAAAGCACTATAAATTATGACCACTGATTATTTTCCAGCGCCTGTTCGATGTATGCCATTTGGAGGAAAACGATTCTTATGAGGGACAATAAACCCGTTTATACCCTCCTTTAGAACAACAGTGATAAAAACAATTTTGTTTTTTTCTCAACGAAATGTACTTGAACTTGACTTTCTAGCAGTATTCCTTGCTGTAAGAGAGCTATACCAAACCAAAGAAAGAAAAAACAAGCAGTGAACTCCAACACAATGTGTTGATAAGGCGCGTCATTAACTCGCACATATCAACCCCTCTAGTTCTCATTTACAAAGATTTCAAAATAGGCAAGTAGCACAGCAAGAGAATTCATACGATGCAACACTTCAACGACGCACTTTGACGAGACCGTGTATTGTGAATGTAGAAAGCTATTCGATCTACTTTAAGTTTTTTGATCTGCCTCAAGCAAAATCTTATCAGATTCTTGAAGAAAAGTGCTACGGAATAATTTAAGCGAAGAAAGGAAAAATTCTGTCGAACTCCTAAAAGATAAAGGCGATTTAAAGGTATTTTGGGGCTGAAATACCCAAATCACCGGTAGTATAAATCCCTTTATATTATTGAAAAGAAATTGACTCGATATAAATGCAATTGCATTAAATACGTCTTGATTTTGTTATTTTAAACGTCTTTCCATGCAAAGAAGTTCAACCATGTCGTTACTTCATTCATTCATGAATTGAAAGTAAGCCGTCTACATCCCGAAAATCTACTGATTTGCCGTAAAAAATTGCAGAAACTTGATATACCAGGTCGATGCACCCACTCGTTGAATTTACCAACCAATTTCGTGAGTGCAAATGTGTGAAAATCAATATGCTAAAGTCATTTTGGGTGCATTTATTTTTCATGAAACAATATTAATTTCAATCCTAAAAAACCATCAATTTTCCATATAAAATTGAAAAAATCAAAATATGTCGACTCCTCGACGTGAAAATTAGATTCTACGTGTGTGTAAATACTTGAACAGAATATATGCTGAACAGAAACTATGTGTGGACACAGTCAGAAGCCCGCGGCAACATTAATTCAACAGAAAAACTAAAAATAAGATCGGATTTTAGCCGCTTTGCCCGCCTCTCCTCGTAACTTACAACAAACCGTTCTTATGCTCATCTCAAAATTTTTCTCAGAGCTTTGGGTTATTATCAGCTTCCATTTAAACTCCGGCTCGATGGCCGAATCGGCTGCCAAAAAAGCAAGCCACTGTTGAAGGGTTCTATGAGAAATTCGTGATATTATCGGCTCTCAGGAAATCACCCCATGGATAAAATTGGTGGTATAAATGTTTAAGTGCTTAAAATAATCGTATTCAAGAAACTAAGGAATTGAACTATGGAGTCAATTTCTTTTTAATAATATAACGGGATTTACTACCGGTGATTTAGCTATTATAGCCCCAGAATACTTTTAAAGCGCCTTTACGTTCCAGAATCTCGACGAATTTATTTTTTTTTGGCTTAAACGATTCAAGAGACACTGTAGTCAAAAATATAAAGATTTTTCGATTTGGACGTTTAAAAAATGTTTAACTCGTTCAGGCACACCGTGTATTGTATGGAGTACTGTTGTTATTCGACCCTTCTCTTCAGGTCAAAATTCTTACAAAGAAGCCCCTTGCAAGATGCGAATTCTTTGTAATTTCTCCCAGTTTTTTCACCGTTAGGTATATAATTAATTTGCTTGTCAAATTCTGAGGTTAATTATATTTAATTGTAATTTATACATTTCTTTTTTTCCCCTTCATTTTATTTTTTGTATCGAGAAGTCGAGGTTTTGTTGATTTCTTCGGATTTCGATTACTGTAACTTCTCTTCTATTCGGCCGATTTTTATGAATGAGACCTCTTTCAATTCGTCTTTGAACGGAGAGTTAGGAAAAAATTGCTAGGTACTCGCGAAACAATTTTTTCGAAAATTTGCTGGATTCCAGCGTGACGGTGAAATGGGTAATCGAGTGAAAGTAATTAGGTCTGACTGCGGCGAGGGCCACGAGGGTCGCCTTATTGTTCTTCAGCTGGGAGGCCACGCGGCGAACCGAGCCACGATCGGGACACTACCTGGGTTTCTGCCTGCCTGTGCACTGTTTTGGCCTGATAGGGGAGTGAATTTCTGTATGGGCCACGATTAGCACATGGTCTAATGAGTCTCGAGGCTCATCACAGATTGCACTTACCACTATCCTGCTGGCCGTGGCTATCAGAGCAAGGGGTACCAACTTTTGAAAAGCATAGCAGGGTTATGGAGATCTGTCAAAGCAACGTTTAGAACAAAACGGAGTGAGTGAAATTCTCATTCAAGGAGTGCCGAACTGGTCAGCCATCCTCGAATCAGTTCGCTTGCTTCCGCTTATATATGCATATTTTAAATCAGCGCGCCCCATTCTTAGGCTTTTTTTAAAAAAACCAAGTAACGTAGACTCTTGGTATTCACTGTATATAAACTAATGAGCCCCAGAATGAGAAACAACTTTAAATCATAATTATTGACGTATAAATAAACTTTTTACACGCTTTGGAAAATCTCAGAAGTTTGCGGTAGTCACTTTTCGGTAAGGAACTAAGGGACTCGGTTATTGTATCGAGCAGGGTTCGAAACGATCGCAAAGGCGGTATACTACGTATACGCGCCAAAAACTGAGAAAACTAAGTTGACAACATGAGTACACTTAACAAATAGAAAGGACTTGCACTAACTTCAACTTACCAAAACTTTGCTGGAAATTATAAGGCCTTCATCAATTAGCTTGATCCTATACTCTTGGGGCTTGTGTTGTGAAGTCATCCTGAACTCCTCTATGACTTTGGCTCTCTTGAAATCACCTGGTGTATGCTCATAGACAACCACATCTCCAACTTCTGGTTTGTCTTTTGAGTAGCTTTTAAAACAATGAGAAATGAATATTATAATTGGGTTACCTTGAGAAAATACTATAAATCAAATTCTTCACCATTCATTTTACTTTTTCACCCCCCCCCCTCCCGGGGTTTCCCCTATTTTTGAAATTTGAGAAAAGTTAAGCTCCCCAGGTCTCAAAACGTGCTACGAACTGGATAGTTGGGATCATATTTTTAGTTCCAAATTTTAGTATTACAAACAAAAAAAAAGAGGAAAAAAACTGAGAGACATGCGTACTAAATACACGCAAAGTAGGTTTTAAACACTTTTAATGCGGTCAACATACCACCCGCGATTTTTTTGCGGAAATGCCCCCCCTTTTTCCCATCCACAAGTACCGTATGGATTATCGTCTTTCCGGGCGGTTTCTCCCTAGTGCTGAAAATACTAAGACAGCTTACTTCCAAACATGCTTTTAAATCTATATTATACAGCTACAAGCAAAATCTTGGAAGCACTATTTCTGACGAACTGCCGGACCGATAAGGATGATCTTTACATGTATGTCATCTGTAGTAGATGTAGATGTGCAAAAAATTATGAAACCCCGAACTTTTAATGTTGTAGAGCTTTTAAAGCTCATGTCACTTAAGTCCAATGTTAATAGCGTGAGAGATATGTCGTTTCCGCTAGAAACGTCAAGGTGTGGGATTCTACCTGAGTGACTCGAATAAACAATAAAACAATGGAAAAGCTCGTGAAGGGCTCCTCATTTGAAGAGTTGAGGAACAGTGCATCGCTCAGGGTTCAAGGTTCAAGGTCCAAGGTATAAGGTTTAACTCAATTTTTCCTGCATTCTTCCGGCTTCGATTTGTGGCATTGGTCAATTTACTTGATTGCTGAATTTCTATTAATATTTACAGCAGGTAAACAGCAGATACAAAGTGAGAAGGCAGGCGCTGCGTCGCGTCGGGACGGGACGGACCAAATATTATTAACTCTTAACGGTCGAAATCCGATTATTTTTTTTTAATTTAAGTATTTAAAAATAACATAATAAATGGAAATTTCTCCAGTAAGTGGACTGTGAAATTATGCATATCCAGCTATTCCTCATCAGTTACAAATCTGAGTGATACGTCAAAAATTTTGAAATCGATGCAGCTCGAATACAAAATGGTGTATCAAAATGGAAGAACATTTTTGCCTATACATATGCGTATAGGGACCGCGAAGCGGGCCTGAGGGCGCGAGGCGCCCTCCCGGGGGTTGGGCCGCGTAGCGGTCAGGGGGCACGCCCCCTAATACTTGGTATATAATTGTAAAGAATCCAAATTTTTAAAATTATCAAAGTCACAGGATGGAAGTTTCTAAGGCATAGAAATTAATGACAAGTTTTGATTGGTTTTACAGGAAAAAAGAAACATTTTATTTGAGACAAATAAATTCAACAAAAAGTATGTAGCCGTCATTCTCGATTACTAAGATCATCTCCTTAGTAAAAAAAAAAATAAATAAAATAAGTATAACAAAAATAATGATAAGGTAAAAATAGATCATCTCATAAGTAAAAAAAAAAAAAAATAGAATATAACATTGACAAGCTGGTGTCTGCAATCGCAGTGCGATAGCAATACTCGTCATGGGAACTTGAGAAATGTTTGATAAATCACTTAGCATTGGGTATACCATTTTTAGGATGGATACCTACTGGGATCTGCTTTTGATTCAGCAAAGATTCAGCAGAAGTCAAAACATTTACCTATGGCTTACCTATGCAAATCCACTTTACTAAAAAAAGAAAATAACATAATCAATTTGAGTGAACATACGGCTGATTGTATGAAGGAGGTATACTCCAGTATTTTTGTTTAACATATTAACTCACAAGAAAATGTTCGTACACTTTTTACCTAGTATTAATTATTTTCAATTATTTTTTGATGATTGGTCTAAAACATTCAATACAACCAGTAAAAATTAACCGCCCCCTACGGGGTTCGAACCCTTGCTTGCGCCCAAGCAATTTCTGTCAGCGATTGTGAGGTGGCGTAGACCACTGAACCACCAAGATGCACGAATCAACTGAGAGAGGATAGAGCATTTAAGAGACTCGGTCAATGGACGGGGCTTCACAAAAGCTGTTGACCTTGACGCTTCGGCAACTGCCGTGATATGAGAGAACGGAGTAAGCGCGTTTCTGTATGAGCCATAAGTAGGCTATTCTTTCATGTGTCTCGAGGTTCATCCCAGCATGCATACGCGATCGTGGCAGTTGAGCTAAGGCAATATTTGCATATTCATGAATTAGATCAATCAATCTAGTTCTGATTTTGGCTCCTTTGGAACGAGTCCTCCAGAGCAATTCTCCGGCTTGTACGATGGTTATTATTTCTGTATTATTATTTTTAAAATTTGAAGTGGGATAATGGCGGCATCTCAAGAACAACGAGGAAGGCGATTGTTTGCACCAACGAACAGAAAATGGATAGCGAAAAATAACCAATCAGAACCTCCCAAAACAAAGAATTTGCCTAAATTCGTTTTTCGGTGGTTCTGCGCAGATTTACCAGTCAGACACGACATCACAAGGCAAAAAAAAACTCGCAGAAAGCGAATTTTAGAATTCTACACAACGATTTTTGATACATCCGAAAATGAATCAAAGACCAGGCACTGGGTATTTCGCTCAAGGTCACAGAGACATAGGGAATTACATAGCCGTAGCAGCGGAACGATTCCAAGTTCATGGGGAACTCCGTCCCCATGACAAAACAAATGTAGCACACAAAAGTTTAACTTCAAACGTGAGAGTTATTGTATTCAATGACAGCTCTCTGTAACTGGGAAGAGTAATTTGGATGGGTCTTTGGAACCTTATATGTTGACCAAGTTTGTACAAAATCACGGTGCACAGACTCATTTGCTTGTTCGCTAAAAAAAAACCTACACCGGCTTCTGAGAGCTGTCATTGAATACAATACCTCTCTTATGTGAAGTTAAACTTTAGAGTGCAACATTTCTTTCTATGTTATATTCTATTTTTTTACGGATGATATGGTCTATTTTTACCTTATCATTATTTTTGTTATACTTGATCATGAAACTTTCATGATCTACCTTGGAAACTTCCATGCTGTGACTTCGATCATTTTAAAAAATTGGATTCTTTACACGTATATACCAAGTATTTAAAAGTATTTTCGGAAGTTATCTGTCTCAGTATTTTCAGCACTGCTCAGAAACTGCCCGGAAAGACGATGATGCATATGTTGGTTGTGGATGGAAAGGAAAGGAGTAGGTGCCTTTTAACGTTTAAGTTACATGAAGATATGTTGAGTAAATTTTTCAGGCTCTGTCCCCAGTCCATTTCAATTTTTTTTTTTGGCAATTTGGCGCAGAATGTCCCAAAAAGCGTGAGAAGAACCCCAAAATACCCAAAAATCACGGATTTCAGGATATGAATTTTGAAAATCGTTTAGAAAACTGGTAAAATCGATTTCTCGCGAAAACATACATAGGAAAACATGTGCTTGATGATGAAACTTGTTTCCCCTAACCCTCTGTACAAATCACTGATACTTCATGGATAATTGTTACTGGGACCTTCTTATGCTAAAGACAAGTCAGAGTGATGAGTGGTGAGAAAGTAAACAGATTTTACCCTTTACTGGGAAAACATCAATCATACAAAAAAAATATAATTAAAAAATTGCATATCGCGTGATAATAAAGTATTTAAATAAAGAAGTAAGAATCAAACCAGTGCCTGCATTGTTAGTGGTAGAAGTTTATTTTCTCACATGCATTTTAGGAAGTTCCATCAGTGAGAAAATTTTGATAAAAGCACAATAACAATTACACTAAAAACATATCAAAATGCGTTATGTGTAGGAACAATTATTACAGGAAAGAACAATGAAAAATATATCAGGCAATTGAAATTGGACTGGGCACCAAATTGGAGATTAAGTGATAAGAACTTGGAGAGCTAAAAGACAAAGTACATGGATTATCAAAATGTGATCAGTGATCTCATTAGGCCAAATGTGGTACAATGCGGTGAAAGCTAATTACTATGATAGGTTTATGCAGAGGTCCGTTAAGCTGGAAGCACTTTTTTGTAGGTCTAGTTGTGTATTTAATAAAAAGATGTCATTCAACATGGATTGCCTTTATTCTAAAGATTCTAATACATTGAGTATTTTTTCATCATTGCTTTTAAGCAATATGGTTAAATTCGTTTTGATATTTGAGATAGTATTATTGAAATCTTTCAACAGTTGATAAATGTTTGAATGGGGATCTTTCATGTGCTCTTTAAAACACTTAGGAAAGCTTCAACCAGTTTTCCAAGTAGTTCCCAAGTACTTTTCCAAATCACAATCATTACAAGATATTGTAATGGTATGAGGCCATATCACTTACGTTTCTAAGGCCACATTCCATTATGCTTTCTAGTTCATTCGGTCCGAAAGCCATCGATTTTGCAAGTACAGGCTCAGGCGAGCATGTTGATGTTTAGAGCATCTATCTTGTAGCGCCGATCATCTCGCGATCACGCCTCCGACGTCATAGCTCGGTCGGACGTTACAAGACATATACTTTCGAGATTCGCGGCGCGTTTTCGTATATCGAGGCAGCGAGTAGACAGGTCACCTTAGCCAAGTGCATTCTATGTATACCGTGCTATCCTACCGATTATATTGATCAGTCTCTACCATTTGACTACGAGCGTTGGATCATTTCATCCCCCCCCCCCATTACATAGTGAAGACGTCGGGTCAGGAGCATTGTCATCCGAAAATCCCAGGTTAGTAGAATAATTTGAATTTAAATTAGAAAATTTACAGGGTTAGTAGGAATTTTTCGAGCTTCATCAAGTCAAAATTCTTGAAAACTATTAGTAATTTTCATTTAATTGATAGTACAAAAACGGTCAGTAATTTTCAAGCTTCACAAAGTTGAGAACAGAAAGCGTTAAGTATTTAAGTTTACAACGAAGAAAATCTACAGAGTTAGTGGTAATTTTTCGAGCTT